GTGTGTGTGTGTGTGTGTGTGTGTGTGTGTGTGTGTGTGTGAAGGGGAGTTTCTCACGATGCTTGAGTTTCCACACCATATACAGAGAGGAAAAGGGTGTAGGAATGATGGGAGGATTCTCTCTCTCTGTCTCTTCTCATCAAACATGCAGCTCAGACCAACAGTCCTTCATCAGCGTTGCTGTTTCAGGAGCAGTGAAATAATCAGATCTTTGGTTTCTTGTAGAGAAAGTGGGGAAAGCGGCTCCCTCCGTGTTCAGTGGAGCGAGGTCAGGAGCAGAGACGGTTTTCAACTCGCGCTCAGCTCGACCTGTCAGGAAGTGATGGGGGGAGACCAGCTGTGCTGTTGGTGGGCTGGACTACGGTCCACTTTGACCAGGTTTAACAAAACCAATAAGATCACATTTATTATTAGCATTCAACACATGCAGCAGTAATGAAATCTAATTTCCTTTTTATCAGTTCTTCAACATGTATTTGGACACACATGTGTACTGGCATCCATCAGGGCATGCTGTAGCACCATCCTCACCCTTACAGCCCTGCTGGGGGGAGTTGGTTCTGTTTATTTCCTGATAAAATTCAGGCTTTAAAAAAGTCATGTTGCAAATGTAGCTCAAGCTGTAATTTTACACTCAATAATAAAACCAGAACATGAAGTGACTTGTCCAGTGGTGCAATGTGACAGAATAACTAAAACATCATTTTAAATCAATTTGAGGCTTTTTGTTTAGACATTTCTGTGTGTTCTGTTCTGTTGAATCTAACAGAAAAAATGCCATATTTATCTAACAGATTTACTTACCAACCTTACACATGCAAGCTTATGATAAATTAACCTGTTTATTCATGTACAACTTAATATAATTTAACTATTTTCATYTGCAGCTCCATGATCAAAATGTGTGATTGGCATGAACAGAATAGGGTAATTTGAAGTTTATTGTAACTTCTGAATAAAGGCCCAACTTTGTCTAAATTGCTAGTTAAAGTTATATATTTGATCAATTTGTTCAAATTACATTATGTACACACCGAAAATAAGCTTCCTGTTGATTTTTTTAAATGTAGATATCTTTAAAATGTTCATAAGTTGTCTAGTGTGACAGGGCCTCAAGTAAAATATCTGTTGACAGAAATGCAACCACTGAGTATTTTAAGTGTAAGTTTGATTTCAAGAATTTTACTAATAGTTTATCATTTGCCTAATAAAATGTGTCTGCAGTCTCCAGGTCTGAGTGTTTAAAATGACAATTTTATGCAACACATGCATTGTTTGCTTTACACTGATTTGATCAAATTCTGACCTTTTTGTTAAAGAATACATTCAGTTTGTGTTAAATAAGTTTTCATTATTAGAGGTCTGTAATTTAGTGTGAAAATGTAAAACACCATTAATTTAATTATTATTTGCTTATTTAAAAGGACATTAAGCACTGATGAATATTTCAGTAATATAAATGTGATTCAATTTTCAGAAATAAGAAAACCGAGGCAATGTATTTTTCTTTTTTAATTCAAAATGTTATAAGAACAAAACTTTAAATTTATTTGAACAGAACTACAGTAAATGACACAGAGGAAAAAAAATGGAAAGATAAAAGGAACAAACTGTGGATCAGAGCTTTCACATCCAGCCTGTGAGGAAAAAAAAATGGAACCGTGGTTTTATTTCATAAACTTGTGATGTTGGTCTTGGAGGATTTTAGCAGAAGACTTGGCGTCGTAGAACAACTCGTTAATTTCCTCCACCTGCTCCTTCTCCACCGTCTCTTTCCCCTGAACTCGGCCCAGTAGGCTGGCTGGTGTCAGCAGCTGCACAGCATACCTGAGAGCAAACAGGGAAGATGAAAACTACAAACATCAGTTGATGATTAGAAAGAAAAGAAGTCAAGCCTCAGAAATTTAAAGAATTTGTTTCCTGGTAAAGTTACTCACATTTCAACYTCAAGGCTGCTCTACATCCAAACAGCCTTAAACATCCAGGTTGTTTGTTTAAATGTTTATTTTTAGCACCAGACATACTAAATTCAACAGTACCAAATTTTGTGGAGTGCAAATAAATTCATTTTACAATAATCCTGATTTGAGGCTTCATCGTAAAGCTCTTAAAATTGTCTGTTAGGTGCTTGAAACCTATTTAAATGTATAAACTCTAATATCACTGAGGAGACGATACAACTTTAATACGTATAACTTTGAGTTTGGAAGCACCTGAGGGTGGTCTTGTTGCCGATCTCTGCCAGGTGTGTGAGCGCTTCCTCGCTGATGCTGATCCCCTCCGTCTGAGAGCGAATCTTGATGATCTACAAGGAAGAGCCTCGTTAGCAACACGTAAGAAGTCCCAGAGCCCCACGCCGACTCCCAGACTCACCTGCTTCATCTCCTGAGGCGTGTACAACATGGTGCGAATTATCATAACTCTGTCCAGCAAGTCCAGAGGGATCCCGTGTGGAGAGCTGATGTCCTCCGTCCCTCTAAGAAACAACGTGGACGTTTCAAAACTAAGAGCCTCCGTTCTGCTTAACGGTGGGGTTTATTTCTGTGAAACGCGTGACACGCCTCTCACCTGATCAAACAGTTCCCCCTGTTTGAGGCGAACACAACGATGGGGGCGATGCTGCTCTCCAGGGCGCGGTGCAGGTAGGTGAAGCACTCGATGTCCAACATGTGCACCTCGTCCACAAACAGCACACCGGGTACGAGCTCGGCCACGCCTTGGTCTATGTAGCGGTTCACCACCTTGTTGATTTCAGCGCGAAGCTTATCTGGAACGAGAAACAAACAGTGAGTCACAGTCAGATATCTGGGGTCTCATTTATAAAGGATTGCGTGGAAACCATACTAAAAGTGAACGTACGGCCACAAGGCAGAAATGGCGTACACCAAAAAAAATTCAGATTTATAAAACCGTGCGTA